CATTGCCTCAACCACTGTCTCCCATCTGCTTTTCTAATGTCACCAAGTAAAGACTTGTATGGTGAAACCCCATCTCTACGAAAAATACAAAAATTAGCCAGGCGTGCTGACCAGCTACTGTGATCTCAGCTACTGGGGAGGCTGAGGGAGCAGGATCGCTTGAGCCCAGGAGATGGATGTTGCAGTGAGCCGAGATCATGACACTGTACTCCCGCCCGGGTGACAGAGCAAGATTCCAGCAGAGAGAGAGAGAGAGAAAGAGAGAAAGAGAGAGAGAGAGAGAAGAAGGAAGGGAGAGAGAGAGAGAAAGAGAAAGAGAGAGAGAGAGAGAAAGAAGAGAAAGAAGGAAGGAAGGAAGAAAGGAAGGAAGGAGGAAGAGAAGGAAGGAAGGAAGGAAAGAGAGAGAAAAAAGAGAGAGAAAGAAAGAAAAGAAAGAGAAGGAAAGAAAGAAAGAAAGAAAAGAAAAGAAAGAAGAAAAGAAAAGAAAAAGAAAAACCTATGCACACAGGACACAGCATGGTCTGACCCTTATAGTGTTTTGTTTTTCTCTAAATGCAGGTGGACAAAGACACAAAGAAAAACAGTACGCATTCTGGGATCACCGCTATGCTGAGGAAAAATTCTGGTGTTGACAAAGGTAACACTTTCTTGACTCATTTCTTCTGGAGAGCCACTCTGGTTTGAACTTCCTGCCAGAAATGAGGTTCAAGCACTTTTGTCTTAAAAAGTGAATAACCCAGTCAAGAAATGTGACCGTTGACTCTAGTGCCTGGAAGGCACAGTGTCATTTGGATAAAAGAGGTTGCTGGGCATCAGGGTCGGGAGGTATGGAGGAATGAGTCAATGTGGAGTGATTGTGAATGTCTTTGCAAGTTTCAGTGCTTTCCCCCAGAAAATGTGTTCCCATATGCAAAGCACAACACAAAGATTAATATCCTGCAAATGAAATTTCATCACCACTGCATTTTCCAAAAATCAACCCATTCATTCCTCACCACAGCTGTAGCTGAAGGTGAAGTTTGATATCCCCAGTCCTCACATGGAGATGATGTAGAGATGAATTTTCCAGGCTTTTGGTCTCCTAAATGGAAATGGCATAGATGAACTCGGGAATGGGTGGAAGGTTGATGCTGTGGGCTACTAGTCTGAAGTTATCACATGGCCCTGGTGTAACTTGTCACCATATCAGAGAGTCCTTAGCATCTATGTGTGTATGTGGAAGCATATTGGCCTATAAAGATCTCTAGCACTGTATACCACAATAGAATGGTCTCAATGGTCAGCTGGTCCAGAGTTTGAGTAGGTTCATTGTATAGTGGACTTTGGTGCAGTCATTAATATGAAACATACAGAGGGAGCTGCCAGGCCTTTGGTCTTAAGTGATGGGGTATTCTTCAGCTCCTGGTCAAGTTCAGAGAACATTCAGGAACATATTCTATTGTATTTAATGAGATTGTCACCACAAACATTAGAAATGCTCCATTTCAGTAGCAAATATACCCAAGACACAGCACCCAACAAGATCTCAAGGAGCCAATTGTCTGTTAGCCTGGAGCCCATCTCCTCTGCTGGAATCTTCTGCACAACTGGGTAAGAGAGGGTCAGCGTCCCCACCTGCTGCCACCCATGAAGGGCTGTCACAGTCCTGGAGCCAGTATGAGTATGACCAACAGCGGGCCCCATGACACACACACACAGTGTTAAAAGGAAGGGCAGAAGGACAAATATCACATGCCAAGTAGGGATCATCTTTAAATGGTAGGATAATTGAGTAGTTTCAATTCTTGGTTTAGTCTTCTTTGAAACAAAAGGTTAGTGAATACATAGAATATTTTGGCTAGAATTAAATCTCCTCTTTGAAGAAAGTACAAAATGTTCCAGCTGGAGACGGTGGCTCATGCCTGTAATCCCAGTGCTTTGGGAGGCCAAGGAGGGCGGATCACCAGAGGTCAGGAGTTCAAGACCAGCGTGACCAACATGGAGAAACCCCATCTCTACTAAAAAATACAAAATTAGCTGGGCATGGGAGCACATGCCTGTAATACCAGCTACTCAGGAGGCTGAGACAGGAGAATTGCTTGAACCTGGGAAGTGGAGGTCGCAGTGAATGGAGATCACACAATTACACTGCAGCCTGGGCAAAAAGAGCAAAACTCCATCTCAAAAAAGAAAAAAAAAAAAAAGATCTAGAAGAATTGAAAAACACAGCAGCACGACATGTTGGTCCTGGGGAGGAAATGACCTCAAGGGGATCAAGAAGGGAGGGCAAGTTAGCTCAGGTCAGGTTAGGAAGGAGGAGCCCTGGATGCTGCAGGGAAACACTGTATGGTGGGCCCTGTTTGAGATGGGTTATTTATGTCGAAGGGGTTGCCATAGCTGCAGGACCAAGGCTCTGTCTTCCGTGGCCTTCCTGATGCCTTCCTTCACCATTTGCCTTCACTCTCCATCATGGAGGATGCACCGGCAACAGCTGAGTCTGTGCTGTGAACACACCTTTCCACACACGCCAGCCCCGTGTCCACAGTTCCAAGACCACCTGAGGAATTCAGTCAGTGGATCTCATGTGTTTATAGTGACTCTGTTTCCTAGGTGACCTGAAACACCTACAGCAGCATATGCCAGGGCAGACATCCTCTGAGGAAGCCACAGGAGTTCACATGGTAAAGTCTTTTTTTCCTCTGAAATGGAAATTTTATTTCTCTTGGTTTCTCTCTGTTTCAACTGAATTAACATGTCTAAATCTTAACCGTGTACATTATAGGTGACTGACAGAATTTCTTGGTGGGCAAATGTCAGACTTCATTATCTACTAAAAAATGGTTTCAGATGGCATCCACATTTACACACTGTGTGTCAGCAGGCATTTTATCAAGAGAAATGCCTTCTTCTTGAGAAATATTTGGAATCGTCAAATAAAAACAATTGAAAATCTTGCACAAAAATTTTGTGCCTTTCCACGAATGTCTTCTAGATATCAGGGCCATTGTCTCAACCACTATTTGCCATCTGTTTTTTTTAACATCAACAAGTGAAGAAAAGACCTGTGCACACAGGACACAGCCTGGTCTGACCCTCATAGTGTTCTGTTTTTCTCTAGATGCAGGTGGACCCAGCCACACTGGCGAACGGTACGTAGCTGGGATCATCTCTTTGTTTACGTTCAAAATCTTAGTGTTGCAAAGATGACACTGTTTCACCTGCTTTTGCCCAAGAGCCACTCTGGTTTGAGCTTTCTGCCAGAAATTAGATTTGGAAAGTTTGGTTTAAAAAACTACTAAGAGTCCAGTAAACAGCTGTAACCATGGTACTGTCATCCCTGGAAGCAGCAGTGTCATGTCAGGTGGGGTGGTTCATCAGGGTTGGGAGGGACAGGGAGAGAGTGTGTATGGAATGATTGTGGATGTCTTTGGGAGTGTGTGTGCATTTCCCCAGAAAACATACTCCCATGTTCAAAGCACAACACAAGGATCAATGTTCAAGAAAATTTCCATCACCACTGCACAGTTTACATAAATCAACCCATTCATCCTCCAGCACAGCTGTACCTGAACATAAGTTCACTATCCCCAGTCCTCAGATGGACATGGTGCAGAGACGAATTTCCCAAGCTCTTGGTCTTTTAAATGGAAGAGGCACATGTGAAGTCGGGAATGAGTGGAAGGTTAATGCCATGAGCCACTACACTGAATTTGTCACAAAGCCCTAGTATAATTTCTTGCTAGGCCAAATTATTCCAGCACCTGTGTGTGCATGTGGGGGAATGAAAACCTATTCAGATCCCAAACACTATCATGACTGGATGGTGTCAGTGCTCAGCTCACCCAGGGTTGGTTTGAGCAGGTACATTGTACAGTGGGCTTCAGTGTGATCATTAATGTAAAACACACAGAGTCCACAGGCTTTTGATCTACAGCGGTGAGATCATCCCTCAGCTCCTGTTCAAACACAGACAATAATCAGTGGGATATTCTATTGTATTTAATGAGATAATCACCGCAAGTCTTAGAAATTCAGTGCAACCCAATCCCAAGACATAGCATCCAATAAAATCTCAAGGATCAACCTGGGTGTTAGCCTGGCACCCACTTTCCCTGCTGGAATCTCCTGCAGAGCTGGGCTGGAGAGAGTCACTGCCCGCTCCCCGCTCCCCTCGCTGCTCCCCATGACAGGCTGTCCCCGTGCTGGAGTCAGTGTGAGCATGAGGAGCAGTGCACTCCGTGGTGCACACACATCGTGTTGAAAAGGAAGAGTGGAAGGACAAATATCACAGGCTAAGTAGGGGTCATCGTGAAATGGTAGGATGATTGAGTATTTTCAAATCTTGGTTTGTTTCCTAGTAACAGAAAGTTGGTAATAAAATCTTTTGGCTAGAAATAAATCTCCGCTTTTAAGAAAGGTTGCTTCTTGTTCAGTACAAAATCTTCTAGGAAGGATGATATACAGAGCAGCAGCACATGTGGATTTCAGGAGGAAATGACTTTGGCAGGGATCAATAAGAAGACAAGTTAGCTCAGGTCCAGTTAGGAAGGAGGAGCCCTAAGAGGCTGCCAGGGAAACACAGCCTGCAGTGCATGGTGTGTCCTGTTTGAGATTGGCTATTTCATGTTTACCAGGTGGCCTATAGGTAGAAACCCAAAGGCCCTGATTCCCTTTCTTCCCTGCGTCTCTCCTGTGCCTGCTACCCTCCCCAACACCCACCTTAAGCAATGTTACTGAATTGTTCATGAGCAACACCACCATGGTGCTGACGGTCACTCTGTATCCTCCTAGTTCTGACGACAGATGTACATCAGGAGCCGTCCAGTGACAACCGAGACGGGGAGGACCCAGAGGATGTGAAGGTCAGGCCACCTGGATTTCTCTGAGAAAAACTGTTGCTTTCTTAGCTTTATCTTATTTGGATTAAATTAAGGTATGAGAATCTGACCATGTATATCTTAGATTAGTGACAGAATGTCCTTGGGGAGAATTATGAGAGTCTGTCCCCACTGAGGCTTGATTGAAGACTGGGAGAAAATGACAGCATCAGTCACACATTGTGGGGCAGTGAGCCTTTACCTTACCAATTTTGTTCTCTCTTTGGAGCAAAATCACTTACTTGCCAACCAACACAGGCTTGAGAGGAAACACACTCTGAGAAAAATTTGTGTCTTTAGTATGAGTCAATTTGCTCTGTTCTTCTTTGGGTTCCTTTGAACACTGGTTTCCATCTTGTTTTCTAATGTCACTAAGCAAAGAAAAGTCCTGTGCTCACAGGACACAGCATAGTCTGATGCTCATAGCAATTTACTTTCTGTCATTACAGAAATCGTCGGGAGTTCCACCGGAGGGTATGTATTGCGGAGCCGCTCTCATACTGATGAGTCACGCAGATGATGAGGAATGTGCCACTGCCTCGCTGGCTTTCCCATAGACAGGCAGGCAGAGCTGAGCGTCCTCTCATGAATGAGGACCTAGGCTGTGATGGGAGAAATGATTTTTCTAGATAAGAAACAGTGGCCACATTCTGCAGCCCCTGGGAGCAACTGCGATCCCTGAAGGTGGGGTGGGATCCTGTGCACAGGGCCGGCTCATGTCTTTTGTGAATTCATGCGGTGCCACGGTCAGTGTGTCTGGGTGTGTGTGTTTGGGTTTCCGTACCACATATCCCCAGATTTACTAGTGTCCACATTCTCAACAGAGATTTCCGTCACCGTTGTGGTCCTATTACAGGCACATGAAAAAAT